GTCAAGAAGCAACAGTGAGAACTGGACACGGAACCACTGATTGGTTCAAAATTGGAAAAGGAGTCCGGCAAGGCTGTATACTGTCGCCCTACCTATTTAACTTATATGCAGAGCACATCATGAGAAAGGCAGGGCTAGATGAATCAAAAGTTGGAATTAAGATTGCCGGGAGAAATATCAACAACTTAAGATATGCAGATGATACCACTCTAATGGCAGAAAGTGAAGAGGAACTAAAGAGCCTCTTGATGCGGGTGAAGAAGGAGAGTGCAAAAGTTGGCTTGAAACTCAACATTAAGAAAACCAAAATCATGGCATCCGGCCCTCTCAATTCCTGGCAAATAGATGGGGAAGAAATGGAGGTAGTGACAGATTTTATTTTTCTGGGCTCAAAGATCACCTCAGATGGAGACTGCAGCCAAGAAATTAAAAGACGCTTGCTCCTGGGGAGGAAAGCTATGGCAAATCTAGACAGCATACTAAAAAGCAGAGACATCACCCTGCCAACAAAAGTGCGTATAGTCCAGGCCATGGTTTTCCCAGTTGCAATGTATGGCTGTGAAAGTTGGACCATAAGAAAGGCTGAGCGACAAAGAATTGAGGCCTTTGAACTATGGTGCTGGAGAAGACTCCTGCAAGTCCCTTGGACTGCAAGGCGTTCAAACCGGTCAGTCCTAGAAGAGATCAACCCCGACTGCTCTTTAGAAGGCCAGATCCTGAAGTTGAAACTCAAATACTTTGGCCACCTAATGAGAAGGAAGGACTCACTGGAGAAGGGCCTAATGCTGGGAAAGATTGAGGGCAATAGAAGAAGGGGACGACAGAGAATGAGATAGTTGGATGGAGTCACTGAAGCAGTAGGTGTGAACTTAAATGGACTCCAGAAGATAGTAGAGGACAGGAAGACCTGGAGGAACATTGTCCATGGGGTCGCAATGGGTTGGACACGACTTCGCAATTAACAACAACAACGACAACAATACTACTGTTCAAATACTGTAATCACAATGCTGATTCTCACAATACTGTGGAACTTAAATGCTTAGTTTTCCCTTTACATTATCACAAATCATAAAGCTTCATTTCAATTCACATTATGAATCTAGCCACTGATTAATAAACATTCCCTAAGATTTCAGACATTTTCAAAACTGAACCAAAGGTGCTTTTTCAAAAGGCAGCTGGACTTGCTTTGTTTTTCCTTGAAGATGTTTCGCTTCTCACCCAAGAAGTTTCTTCAGTTCTGACTGAATAGTGGAGAACGGAAGGATTTACTACTACAAGGCTAGCAAAATATCTCCTATGGGTCTATTGAGTTTGAACATTATAGATGGAGAGATGAATAGATGCATATCCAACATCATGCAAAATGGAAGATTCAAGATACCTTTACTCATCTGCCAAGCCATGAAAGAAAGCCCAAAAGCGACTTAAAGCTCTGTTCACCTCCACAGTAAGCCATTTTTGCTTAACTGATTCAACCATAATTTGTCTGTTCATACATATCATCCAACCCTAAGTCATGATTTGCAAACCACGGTTCATGGTTCTCAACTGCAGCAGGTATTACCTCATAATTATAGGAAAAACAACAATATTCTACCCTGAAAGTAAACACACCACAGAACAGCTTAGCAAATTGAGAAACAATCTATGGGACCACCCTATTTTCCTGCTGTAATCCACATCTCTTGAAAGTAATGTTGATCCAGTGATCCTTTGTTCATTTACAGCCTGCTTTCACTACAACTCTAGCTAATATTGAGCCCTGAGGAAAAGGTTAGCAATACAAACAATAGAGAGGCAGTTTGGTGTAGTGATGAAAGTGCTGGCTTAGAAACCAAGACACTTTGAGTTCTAGGCCTCCCTTAGACATGAAAGTCGGCTGGGAGATTTTGGTCCAGTCCCCTCTCTCAATTCAATCCACCTCACAGGGTTCTTGTGAAAAATAGGAGTAAGGAAGGAATATTAGGTATGTTTACTGCCTTGAGATAGGATAGAAAAATCATCAAATTATTCAAAGCGCAACTTGTGCAAAGAAGTAAAATCAACAGATCATATAATCAGCTCATGGAAAAAAGGTGAGCAGCATCAAATTCCTGGGTATGCAACTAACAAGTAGGCTGGCTTGGTCACTCAACAGTGAGAAACTGGTGAAGCGGGCACAGCAGCGCCTGCATTTTCTGTGTCGCATGAGAAAAGCACACCTTCCTTCCCCTGTCCTGACCACTTTCTACAAGGGGACGATCAAGAGCATCCTGTCATATAGCATCACAGTCTGGTTTGGAAGCATCACTGCTTCAGACAGGAAGGCGGTGCACTGAGTGGTGAGAATGGCTGAAAAGATCATTGGCAGTTCCCTCCCTCCCATCCAGGACATAGCACAGAAGTGCTGCTTGAGCAGGGTCCGTAAGATTATCTGGGACATTACACATCCTCTTCACAACCTGTTTTCCTTGTTACCTTCTGGGAGACGGCTTTGTGGTATCCGTAGCAGAACATCCAGATTCAGTCATAGTTTCATTCCATACAGCATTAACCTTGTTAAGCTTCCTCCTTCCATTATATATTCAATATGGACAGTATTTAATATTTATTTGCTATGTATATGTAGGGGTGTGGGTCTATACATATGTTGTACATAGTATGTTTAGGTGTGTGTCATGTATGTGTTTCACTTTGAGAGCGGGCAACTAAATTTCATTTTTGATGTGTGCCGTTGTGCCCACAGTAAAAAAATGACAATAAAGGTTATCTTATCTTACAGTCAACAAACAACATAACACACTAAACTGATTCACTGGAACATCTGTAAAAAAATTCCATGTGCCAATAATGAAAAATTGGTGGGGACATATAGTTGAAAAAGTAGCAAAAAATGAGGTTAAAACATTATGGGATTTCCAAATACAAACAGATAAGTCTTGGCATGTCACACACCAGATGAAACTGTGGCTGAAAAGAAGTGTGGAAACAATGGTGCATTGAAAGATCTGCAAAAAATATCATTTGCCTGTAAGCAAAAACTGGTGGGATCATAAAATAGAGAAAGTCATAGAAAATGATAAAATTAAACTGCTCTGGGACTTCAACTTCAGAATTCAAACAGACAAGCACCTGCAACATAACAATTGTCGATAAGACAGAAAAAAAAGTCTGGATAGTGGACGTGGCAGTGCCTGGAGACAGCAGAATAGACAAGAAAGAACTGGAGAAGATAACACAATACAAAGACCTACAATAGAAAGACTGTGGCAAAAGCAAGCAAGGGTAGTACCAATAGTGATAGGCTCCTTGGGTGCAATCCCAAAACAACTGGAGCACCACTTGAACACCATTGGCATTGACAAATTCGCTATTAGTCAATTGCAAAAGGCGGCCTTACTAGGAACTGCTTCCATCCTGCGACGATATCTGTAATACCATCAAACATCCACATCTGCCTATCCCAGGTCCTGGGTAAGGACTCAATAGGTAAACAAAATGCCAAATCCAGTCTGAACATATGGCTTACTGTGCGATTATCCATAATATTAATATTAATAATAATAATGTTGGAAGGGACCTTGAAGGTCATCAAATCCAACCCCCTGCTCAGGGAGGAAGCCTACACCATTTCAGACAAATGGCTATCCAGTCTCTTCTTAAAAATTTCCAGTGTTGGAGCATTCACCGCTTCTGGAGTCAGGTTGTTCCATTGGTTAATTGTTCTGTCAGGAAGTTTCTCCTTAGTTCTAAGTTGCTTCTCTTGATCAGTTTCCATCCGTTGCTTCTCATCCTGTCTTCAGGCGCCTTGGAGAATAGCTTGACTCCCTCTTCTTTGTGGCAGCCCCTGAGATATTGGAACACTGCTATCATGTCCCCCCTCGTCCTTCTCTTCGTTAAACTAGACACACCCAATTCCAGCAACCTTTCCTTATATATTTTAGCCTCCAGTCCCGATCATCTTTGTTGCTCTTCTCTGTACTCTTTCTAGAGTCTCAGCATCTTTTTTACATCGTGGTGACCAAAACTGGATGCAGTATTCCAAGTGTGGCCTTACCAAGGCATTGTGAAGTGGTATTAATACTTCATGTGATCTTGATTCTATCCCTCTGTTAATGCAGCACAGCACTGTGTTGGCTTTTTTGGCAGATGCAGCACACTGCTGGCTCATATTTAAGTGATTGTCTACTAGGACTCCAAGATCCCTCTCACAGTTACTACTATTGAGCAAGGTACCCCCTATACTATACCTGTACATTTGGTTTTACTTGCCTAAATGTAGAACCTTACTTTTTTCACCATTGAATTTCATTTTGTTAGACAGCGCCCAGTGTTCAAGTCTGTCCAGGTCCTCCTGTATCTTAAGCCTGTCTTCTGGAGTGTTGGCTGTTCCTGCCAGCTTGGTGTCATCTGCAAATTTGATGAGTTCCCCATCTATCCCCTCATCCAAATCATTGATGAAGATGTTGAAAACCAAGAAATGGAGTTTCAAGATCTGAAAACTGAAAGATTATAGCATAAACCAGACAGGGTGGTCCTATTAGCTATCAGCACACTGGGTACCCATACCAAAAAATTTTTGGATGGCACTTAGAAAATCTGCGCATGGACAAAATTCTCATTGTCAATTGCAAAAGGCCACCCTGGCTAGACACGCAAAAATACCACATTGATATATTAGGACAGGGGTCTTCAAACTTGGCCTTTATGACTTGTGGACTTCAACTCCCAGAATTCCTCAGCCAGGCACGCTGGCTGAGGAATTCTGGGAGTTGAAGTTCACAAGTCATAAAAGGGCCAAGTTTGAAGACCCCTGTATTAGAACATTCTGGGTTCTTGGGAAGAACTCCAGACATAGAAGGCCAAACGCCAGCTAAAGAATTGGCAGCTGTGATTTCACACTGTTGTGTATATAATAATAAAAACCATCCTAATCCAATTTGCGACTGATGCCTCAATAACACAGCCCCAGTTCGGGGGCCAAAGGTCGCCAAGCCCAGCCTTTCTCTGCTTACTGTAGGACCTGAGCAGGCTCTCCATGCTGCTCGTAGACCAGTCCTCGAGGCCCCGAGATCGTCGCTGCGACGGCTGACCGAGCGCGGAGGCCGTAACCAAAAAGGAACCGCAGCGCCCGAGTTGGTGACCCTCCGACTGCCGCCATGCTAATAGCAACAAACACTAGAGCCCGCGGCGCGGCGGTGATGACGACACGCCACTTTACTCGGGCGGTTTAAATTATATCATCGTAGTACTAAATGAACGTACTGACTCCGCCCCGATCCCGCCTTCTGCGCAATGGCCCCGCCCCCTCGATGCTAGCAGCGATGGAGAAATTGTGAGGAATGGGAAATACCGTATTGCCCGCACATACATACATACATACATTTATTGTCCGCGCTTGTACGCCTTCATCAAATTCTTGGGCGATTTACAATAACTGTAAAAGAAATCAGTAAAATAATGCAGTCGTAAATCGCAACCTATATCGTCGGGTGTGGGTATCTCCTCGCAGAATGAAAACGGCCTCTTTATACCGCCGCGAGATGTTATTGAAAGGCAACTAAGTTTTATGGTGGGCTCGCAGTAGCAACCTATAATAATAACTGACAAACCTAAAACGGAAATGCAAAGGTAATTGCAAAGGCAAGAATATATACAGCAGCATGCGCGTTTCAGCAGAGAAAAAAACGATCGGTCCGTTTGCAGCGATATTTTAATTAAGTTAAACCAAGTTCCGGGGATGACTTCCCACAGCTGAACAATAAAACGCAGCCATAAAAACAAGAACGTATCAATAGCCGCAGAGAATGAAAACCGCATCCCAGAACAGCAATATGGTTCCAAGCTACTTACCTCGGTGGTGCCCTTTTTTAAAAAATAAACCTTTTAACCTGAGCTTGTTAAAAGCGCCCCTCTCCCGAGTGGTTGCTTTGTGTGGTTACCAGACTTGGGAGTACAAAATAGGCGATTTTTATTTCCAACTCAAAATATCGAAAAAGCAATTTCATAAAGGGTTCTGGACTGTCAGTTGGGGCAACTGACCAAAATCAGAATAAAACTGAAACCAATTTTGATACGGTGGGAGAAGGCAATGAAAGAGAGATTGAGTTCAAACATGGGCAGTCCAGAAAAAGAAACTCAGAATCAATTCCTTCAATAGTAAATGATTTTGTATGCTTCAGGCTGTGTTGCAATATTGGGAGGTCTCCACTCTAAGCTTAATAGTCTAGGTTTCTCTCAATACCTTGTGCAAAAGGAAAATATATCATCTACTTTTGGCCTGCTGTACATTGTTTTATAAACCTCTACAATTTCCCCTTATTTTGTTCTGACCTAAATAGTGCCAACAGGCTCAAATCATCTTACTTTGGACACATTATGCAAAGGCCAGCTCTGGAAAAGCCTCTAATACTGGGAAAAGTGGAAGGAAAGAGAAGAAGGCTACTACTGTAGCAGCAAGGTGGAATGATTCAGTTACAGAGGCCGTGGGAGCACATTTTGAAGACCTAAAGGCTCAGGTTAGGGATAGATGGTCATGGAGAAAATCTATTCAGTAGATTTAGTTGTTGAAATTGACTTGATGGTACAAAATCAATGAAACAAACAAAAAATAAAGATAATCCTCAATTTACAACAGCTCACTTAGTGACCATTTTAAGTTACAATGGCACTGAAAAAATGACTTAGGACCTCTCCACACTTACGACCATTGCAGCATCCCCATGGTCACGTGATCAAAATCCAGACACTTGGCAACTGACTCATATTTATGACGATGGCAGTCTCCTGGTGTCATGTGATTTTCTTTTGTGACCTTCTGACAAGCAAAGACAATGGGAAAGCCAGATTCACTTAACAACTGTGTTACTAATTTAACACCTGCAGTGGTTCACGTAGCAACTGTGGCAAGAAACATTATAAAATGAGGCAACACTCATTTAATAAATGTCTCACTTAAGAACAGAATTTTTGAGCTCAATTGTTGTCAAAACTCCAGGGACTGACCCAAACAGTCCCAAACCATCAGTTTTCAAATAGAGGCTATTTCTGCCCCTTGATTTTATTTTTCTTTGGGGGTTATTTTTTCCTGCAATTTTTCCAACATTCCTGGTGACCAGAACGGTATTTTTTTCCAAGATAGGTGTCAGAATCCAATTATATTTCATCTTTAATTATCAAATATAGAAACTCCCAATTCTGCCTTCTCTGGATTCTGCCATAAGAGGGAGAGAAGGGGGAGAACAAAGGGGCTTTATGGCCCTCACTTCCTTCAGTATACTTCTAAGGAGCTGAATGCTGAATGTGTGTTTATTGTAACCTCAAAGCGTTAGCACCAAAGAACCTTACCATAACAAAGAAGGGTATCTGCCTTTCATGTAGTTTATCTGAAGTCTCCATCCAGACAGAAGAAAGAAAAAAGGGGGTGGAATTGTGATACCTGAAACTATCACTGGAAGGGGGGTTGATTGGGTGGGACTACTGGGGAACCCCTTAAAACCTTGAATGGGAGGGCTTGGACCCCAAGTCCTGTCTAGCACCCCTGCAACCACTTCTTCTTAATAAAGGATTCCTGTTGGAAGAATTATTCCAAGAGTTCTGTCTTCTTAAGATGCAAAGTGGGGTGGGTCCTTACATTAGACAGGACTTGCAAAATTAATCCACCTGGAAGGGAGACCCTTGCCGGGGGATTTTGCAAAAAATTACCATGTCAGACAATGGAGCAAGAAAGGGGGAAAACTCCCTGGAAAGAGAGCCGCTGACCCAGTTGGAACCTTGCCAGATGTTGGGATCCGAGAGGTCAGATTCCTCAGGAGAAGAAGTGGTGGAGACACGGAACCACAAGCCTCGCTGGTCAATGGGCGTTGGAAAGAAAAGTGAGTGGGGAAAGGAATCAAGAAAGGTGACCCTGAGACGGGGGACCAAGCAAACAGAATGGAAGCAGGAGATGGAGAAATCCCTGCACGCAAGTGAAGAGGGAGGAAGCTGGGCACCGTACTCAGACTGGATCCTAGAGAAAGCTATTGACCTGATGAAGAGAACTCTCAGCTCCCTAGGAGAGGAGAATCCTGAACCCTACGGCCGCCCCAGTTCCTGGAGCCGCAAAGGAAGAAACACCGAGGGGGACGTGGAACCTGCAACCCCGGGGACAGCTACTGATCCAGTATCCCCCACCCCCTAGCGGACCACAGATGGCAACCTGGACGGAAGACATTACCACCAACAATGGAGGCACCGATCCATTCCAAGACGTCCACCGTTGGAGGTGAAATTCAAAGGGGAGCCAACACACTTGGGGTTTTTCCTAACCCAAGTCCTCAGCTACATGGAGGAATACGGGCAGGACATTCCCAGCGACAAAGCCCGCATCCGGATCGTGCAATCTGCCCTGGATGGACTGGCTGCAGATTGGGTGGTGAACTTGCATGACTCCAATGCCCCAGAACTCAGTAACTTCAACCGTTTCATGTCCTCTTTGAGAAGACGATTTGAAGACCCCCTGGCTGATCGCAAAGCCCGCGAAAGGATAAAAACGATGAGGCAAGGCAAACGCCCGATGGCTGAATATACACAAGAATTCCGGGCCATTGCCAGCAAACTGAATTGGCCAGAAGACATCTTCCTTAGCCATTTCAAAGACGGACTAAACTATGATCTATATGATGCTTGCCTGCCCCGAGGGGACCCACACCGACTTGAGGAATGGTACATCTTGGCAGAGGAAGCAGAGATCGACATATTGAAGAGGCACCGCCGAGGAAAACAATGGAGCCGCCCCCCGCCTGAGCTGACACACCAACCGGTGAAATCATCGGATACAGCCAAGAAGCAGATGGGGTGTTTCAAGTGCGGAAGAGAAGGGCATCGAGCTGTAGAATGCCGCTCAAAGGCCCCCCAGCACAACCCAGACAGATCCCCAATCAACAAATCGGAAAGTCTTCAGCTAAGCCAAAAGAAACGGCCATGAGAATGATGGAAATTGCAGAACCCCCCACTTCTGCTCACCAAGGGGAAAGAACTCCAGCCTACACCACAGGGCCGGTGGATGCCTCAGATGACAGCTTGGAGGGCGAACCCCTGGTAAGTGGATGCATCACACCCATCTTCAAAACAGTGACTATATTAATCCCCCCCATGCCCGAAGCTGTGAAGGTGAAAGCCTTAATAGACTCTGGCTGCACCCGCTGCCTCATTAGCCCAACACTAGTGGGGAATCTGGGCATCCCATCCAGGAGACTGGAACAACCAATCTCATTTGGCCAGCTAGATGGATCCATAGCAGGGGGGGGTGCCAGCTACCCTAGCCACTCTGCCAATACACCTCTCCCTGGGCAACCATGAAGAGGACATAACGTTTGTGGTGACCCCAGGTATGGAATGTCCAATGATTCTAGGAATGGAATGGTTGAAAAAATGGAAACCCTGGGTAAATTGGAGGACGACAGAAATCAAATTCCTGAAGGGGACCCTATGGACTTAAAACCCCAAGGGAGGCTACCAGAATCAAGAATAGAAAAAGCATCCATAGGAGAGGAAAAAAGATTAACAGAAATACCAGAGGAATATAGAGACCTTGCTGAAGTCTTCAGTGAGGAGAGGGCGAATGAGCTCCCCCGCCACTGACCCACAGACAGTGCCATTGAATTCAAGCCTGGGGCAAAACTCCCGAAGCCCAGATTATACTCCATGAGCCCAAGGGGGAAGGAGGAAATGGAAAGATTTATAAAAAAAAACCTAGAGAGAGGTTTCATTGAGCCAGCAAAGCCTAAAGTGGCTGTCCCGGTCCTTTTTAGAGAGAAGAAGGATGGCTCTTTACGTTTATGCGTGGATTATAGGGCCCTGAATACAATCAGTGAAAGCAACCTATACCCTCTGCCCCTCATGAAAGACATGCTGTCACACCTATCGAAAGAGAAAATTTTTTCTAAACTAGACCTAAGGGAAGCTTACTATCGCGTGAGAATTAAGGAGGGGGACGAATGGAAGACTGCATTTAACTGCCCCATGGGGTGCTATCAATTCAAAGTCTTGCCATTTGGATTACAAGGGGGCCCTGCAGTCTTTATGCAATTAATCAATGACGTTCTAAGGGAGCACCTGTTTAAGGGGGTCCTTGATTACTTGGATGACATTCTTATCTTTACTGAAACAAAAGAGGAACACGTTAACCTTGTCAGAGCGGTTTTAAAGAAGCTGCGAGCCGCC